ATACAAATCCAATAATTGTGTGATAATAATATATTATTTAAATATAATCACAACTAACTGAAGTATAGATATATACATACACATAGTAACAAATTTATTGATATTAGACTTTACTTTTTGTTTTTATGAATTTTAACTTAATAAATATCAAGTGATTTATACAGTTCACTCTCTATAATGAACCATTTGGCTTACAAAAAAATGTCCGCAATGATTTATATATGGGATATATAAATTGGGCTTAAACTCTCAGTTCTTTATAGAGAAAGATCTATTATAGAGATAGAGAGATCCATCATAGAAGGATAGCAATAGAGAGATATGTTATAGAGAGTGAACTATAACTATGTGAGTTGAGAATTTATGGCATCTGAAATTTTTTCTTTTATTATTAAGAAGTATGAATAAATTTACATTTATGAAAAAAAATGATGTGTTTTTTGGCAAAAAGAGGAATATTTAAGAAAAAAAAATTATTTAATTAGCTCACTTTCATCTAAAAATTCACATGAAATAACTACTTTTGTCAATTGATGCAATTGAAGATAGTGAGACGGGCATTTTAAGCGCACTTTGCATTTTTTCTATATTTGATTGGTTTCTTGCAGTGTTTTTTAGGAGGTAGTATGGGTGGTTTAATACCATGCTATAATTAACCAATATATATATATATTAATCATTAGTAATCGATAAATTATATGTATTAATTATTCCTAACAATAAAAATTGTTTACTTTTCTAAGCCTGTGTCGAGGCTCGTATTGTTTAGCAAGTTCAGCATCTTCATATATTAATGCAAACCCATTAGAACGATTACCATCATATGTAGTTCTCATAGCAAATACAAAGACAACATCTTTGTTGACTCCAAACATTTTACAAATTTGATTTTGAATTTCACGATTTGATAAACGAGGTTTGTTGGGGTGTAAAACATCAATTACTAATTGTTTACGATGTGCTGCGAGATTTTCTTTAAATTTTCTAACTCTAAAAGCGATCGAGTTATCTTTAATATTTTTAATCTTGTCAAACACTGTAACCTTTTCAAACTCTATGTTCTTGTTAACCTTTTTACCTTTTCCGGTCTTTCCATATTAAATTTAGATAATGTATTAGGCATTTATATTTTAAAAAACAAATAAATAAATTATTGAAAACCTTTATATCAACAAACCCTTTGTTTCATTTTGTTGTTTTGTTAATTTTTTGGTGAAAAATTTGAAAAATAAAAAAAGGAGGTGAGTGATGCGCGTTTATGGTAAACAAAACACCATTTGTACGACTGTACGAATGACGCGAAAATTAAAATAGTTGCTTCAAATATAATCATCATGTGACATATTATAAAACCAAATCCTAAGATTTCCTACACAAGATCATATAGTAACTTTTTTAAATGCGTCATTTATTGAACATTTGGATTCTAATACGGACAATAATCAATTCATAAACTATGTGAACAAGCTAATCATATAACATGTAAATCTCTTGGTGAATCTTATATTGAAGAAATAAATATATTGAAACAAAAAACGTTGAAGTATTGAAATCGGAAAAACACAGTTCAATTGATAACAATGATAGAGAAGAAGCGTCTAAAATTGATAAAGAAAATATAATCCCAATTGGAAAAAAAACTCTTATTTTTTTTAATCAGTATTAATTTTGATCCTATTCTCAGAACACCAAAGGAACAATTACAAGATGCGAAATATTGGTCATAATCGTGCTACTTGTTCTCTCAATAAAACAAATGAGGTGTGATGAATTAGTATATAATTTAAATAGGAGAATATCAAAATTCATGTGCTTATTATATAAAATTTATTTTGTCTGTGATTTTTATCCTGCCTACGTTTTTGTGCAGGTACGCAGAAACAAAGACCCTTGATTTTTTTTTATGGATTAAAATAATTCTTTACTTGATTAAAATATTTTGTTTTAAAAGTAAACATTATCTATATATAAGTATGATTTAACATCACTAGCAATAGCCATGTCCAAATGTTTCAACCAAAATCCTGTAGATCGGAGCATTCTTGATTTTTTAAACGAGTACGATCTAGAACCGTTTGACCTACATATAAAGTGCCTTGAAGCAATCGTTAAAGATAAGCAAGACGAGAGATTTGAAAGAACACAATTGCTCCAAAACCAGTGTTGGCCACAGGTGACCTATATATTAGGTATTGATTGGCTAATTTTGGTGCGTCGAACAAATATCTGTTATTTTTGGGATTTGATTGGTCATGCAGTATTTGATACGAGAGAAAATAGATATTTCGACATGAAATAATTAATAACTTTTTTTTTCTCTCCTTCGAAAAGTTTTTTATTATTTTTCAAAAAATAGTTAGTAATAATGACGGCAATGATTATAAATGATAATAATACTAATCATGATGTTAATAAAGATAAAGGTAAAGCATCATTTTTTGTTAGAGTAAAAGATAATTCATAATTTTGTTAAATTCTTGAATATGCATTGATAAAAAACATAGAATGCAGACACTGTCACCACCCTATAAAATAATAAAATACGGAAAAACATTATAAAACATATAATTCATAACGTACCTTGTTAAATCAAGTATGCAGAAAAAGAGCTAACAAAAACCTAAAGTGGATTAAGATCAATAATGCCAGTTATTTCTGACAATTACACGGCATTTTCCGACTTCTATAAAAATATTACAGATGCTTTGAAAAATAGAGAATGGCGTTACAAGGTTACCATCAGTTTTTCAAATCCTTCCTTTTTAATTTTGATGATGAAATGCATCAATCATCTAGAACGACAAGCGCGGGCTTTGACTGCGGTGACTTCTAATTTGTAAAGTTGCTTATAATATTACATTATTATTATTATGAAATATTTATGCGACGTAATGTTGCAGTATTCATTGATGCCCGTGTAACTTTAATGATTTCTTTTTCTAATCAATGATATAATTATTTCAAAAGTTATTATGAGGTCTCTGCCAAATATTTCTTTGAGTTTCAAAAGGTCAATTATGAGAACATTAAGAGTAATAATTATTATTACCATTAAAACCATAAATTTTTAATTTACTCCAGTCATATTCAAATCAATCAAATCCATCACGTTCGTTGAGAAAAACTTTTATATTGAAATAAAAATATATTTATTTAAATAGCTAAAAAATCACAGGTTATTATAAATACACTCTAAATTCTATGAAAATTGATTTCGCAAAGCACGAATCCTTTATCTACGTCCTGAATTTCCCATAAAGTGATTTGTATCATTGGATGACGGAATATGCAGTATATCTCCTCCAATTTGATTATGGCCATTATTATTATTATTATTGTTATTATTATTATTGTTATTATTATTAATTTTCCTATATATAATGAATCCAATAACAACAGTGAAAATTGATAAAACAAATAATCCACCACCAACAGCACCAAGGATAATTCCGATATTCCCTCCATTATTATCGTTGCCACTAGTATTGGGAAGAGGAGAAGTAGGGGAAGTAGGATAAGGATAAGGAGTAGCAGCAGAGGGAGGGGGAAGGAGTAGCAGCAGAAGGAGAAGCAGGAGCAGGAGTAGTAGCAGAAGGAATAGCACGAGAAGGAGTAGTAGCGGGAGGAGTAGCAGCGGAAGGAGCAGTTCCATCACTAACACTAATTCACACATAGAACCTTTAGATATCTGCATCAAAGAAAAAAAATGTACCAGACTTTGCCAGTGGTAATGTAGCTGTTGGGTTGGCATCTGATAATTCTGCAGTAACTAATTTAATAATTTTAAATATCGTTAAAAAAAATAATCATGAGAAAATACATTGAAATAATTGTACATACATGCATCAGATTTTGTAGATTTTACACAAGACCCTTTCACATCACCTTCTATAATTTGAAAATTTCCGGTAGAGTATGGGTTTTTTTGAAATATTATCTAATAAAAATAACTTAGAAATATTGTATTTTGTATTTTTATTATTAAAAATGAACAAGTAAAATATAGCCTACATTATCTCCAATACTTGCATTAACAAAAGATGGTGTAAATAATGCTATTGTATCAATATTATTAATATAAGTAATAAAAATGTCAAGATCTAAGGCATTACTATGACTAACTATAAAAAGACAGGCAACAAAACAATAAACAATCTTGTTTTTTAGTATCATATTTAATTATTAATATGTGGAATGTATTTTAAATTTTTATAAGAAGTTTTTATATATTTTTTTTTAATTGGTGCAAAATTAAATAAGTTTTTATAAATTTTCTTTTGCCTTAACTGAAACGAGGTTTGACTGTATGAAAGAGCTGTATACGGTGATTGTGATGAATTTCAAAACAATTGCGTAGATAAAAAATTAAATTACTCAACAAATTGTGCATTCTTTTTTTTTTTGGAATTGTTTTTAATGATCTACCACATATTCTCTAATGTTTGATTGTCTACAGTTGTGCATTAATCATGCTTATAGTACTTGTTTGATACCAATAACAAACCCATTTTAAACAAAACTTATATATAGGCATATTAAATGGATAAACAAACGCGATTTTATTTTATTACTATGGTAATAGTGTGGGTCACACCAACCCATTTAGTGATGGACGTAAAATTTATTTTGAAAATGAATGATTAAATACTTAATAACTCTATTGATGACTTATTAAGTGTTAAAAGCACAAACTTGCAGATTTTTTTGTTGGTAGCAAAAATCATTTGAATCTATGTTTAATCAAAGATCAATTTTGATAAACAATAATTAATTTAGTTTATGATGGATGACAGTGCATAAAATTCAGTATGCGGGTAACAAAATTTGGTTAGCACAGAAAATTTCCGTACGCTGAATCCTGTACATCGGCAAAATAGATCACTAAGAATGCAACAGTTAATAAGTATAAGATATTGGGTACGCAACGGCCAATATCGATGTTATCGGGCAATCACTATTAAGCTATTCTTTCAAACGTCACTGTTTATATAAAGTTTGATTATATGATTTAATTATATCTTATAGAAATGTTGTATAAATAGTATATCAAACATATTGACGTCATTTTGTGCCTAAAATAACGAAGCAACCAAAAATAGCTTAATAGTGCTGTTTGCCCGATAAGTAGAGTTATTAAGTGTAAGGTTAAAAATTCCATCACTAAATCCATTGAATAAAAATTGATCGACTTTAAAGCTAGATAGAGAAATATTGAAAAAAAATAGAGACGATTTTTGATAGCTATTAACTAGTTCTATAATCTATCGTCGAGGGAGGCAGTAACTTAAAAAAAATTCTTGAGTCTAGCTTTTAAAAAACATGTGATTTTATACATTGGACTGACAAATGAATATTTTGATCTTAATTTGGATCCCTTTTACTTAATTCGGAAAGATGACCACGTGGCATTTATTTACTCAACTAAGCATATAGTAAAATTCTGATCAATAATTTTATTAACATGTATATATAAAAGTTGTAGCATGTTACATGTTACAGAACTTTTTATTTGGCCAAATCATATGAAAAATTATCGTACGTACTTTTGTATATACAAATATAAATTATCAAATTAGGAAATCTTTTCTGCATTACTAGTACTCGCTTAAAACCGGTCAATTAAATTAAATGGCTAAATAAAATTAGTATATATATAGTAGTAAATTAAAATAATTACCATTTTAAAAATTTTTTTTGCAATTGTTGATATGACAGACTAACAGGTTATATTAATATCTGATATATATATATATATATATATATATATGAAAAAGAAACTTGATTTTGTGTTTTTGTGTTTTCACGTTTATAAACTTTGCCAAAAACGCAACACATGTACAAAGTAAAAGCTGCACTGCTGCTGACGTGATTTTGTTTTTTTTACGCATTTTATATATTTTTTAACCTTTCCTTTAAAAAAAAATCAATTAAACACAATTTGCGCATTAAGCGGAAGTTGTCCTGCGGATCAAAATTAACTTGAACATTATATCTACACCAGTTTGGACGTGACGTGATTTAGTTTGTTTTCACGCGTTTTACGTTTCATAAGCTTCATGAAAAATCTACGTGTATATTTAAGGGAATAACAGCTCAATGGAATATTTTTTTATTGTTTGGATAGAGTTTCTACTCGTAATATAATTTCTTATTCGAATGATTCGTTTTATTCAAATTATCCAAATAGAAATAGGTCTCCAAAAAGGGACCTTTGTCTTTTTAATAAGATTCAAATTATTCGCTTGATTCGTTTGATTCGATTACTCGATTTGATTACGAATTATTTGTTTGAATAAACTTTATTCGAATTAATCTTATATTCAGGTAAATAGGTCAACCTGCAAACAAGTTATCTGAATTTTTCGGAGATCTAGACATTTGTTGGTTATATATATATATATATATATAATATAAAAATCTCACCATCGATGTCATGTGACTATTAAACGGCTAACGGTGCCACTCTCTAGCCATACCGTAGCAATCAACATCAATCAAGTTATATACTCACTGTAATTTACTATAGGACCGGGAAATTTCTATTGAATGTCACTATGATTTGAAAATACTTTTAAAAAAGAATGAAGATAACCTTCTCACTATAATCCGAGTAATTAAATTTAAATCAAAAAAGGAAACTGAAACTGAAAAAAAGTCATCATAGTATTATCAAGTTGAGTCATTGAAAATATGTCTTAAAGGCATCGTGCAATTTAGCAACCTTTTTTTTTTTTGAAGAGCAAAAAATGTAATGTTCAGTAGAACCATTATATTTACTTTTCTTCATATATAAATTTTTATCACTATAATTTTTTAATTTATCCAAATGATGTAATTTGCCGATTGATTCGATTGCTGGCACCAGGTTTACCATGACTACTTACCTTGTCCATACCAAAGTATACCCATGATGATTGTTATCCAGGAACGTTGTCAAAATGGATTTGTACGCGTCCCAGTAAAAATCCATCCTAGTTTCGTCATAGTGAAAAAAAGTTAGCTAACTGGGATGTATTTTGTTATAAAATAAAAGGTTCTAACTTTGATTTATCATTTCCTTTTATACTTATATATCTACCCTATCTGTTCTAGTAAAAAGTAAAAGTCTAAGGAAAAATTTGAAATTCATTTCCTCCTATGATACCTATAATATATGGTACATTGGGTTGATCAACTATATAGATCAAAATTATATATAAAAATTAGTATATTAATATGAAGATTTTCCAAATTGATTAAAGAAAATTCAAGTTCTATCTCCTCCATAATTCACCAAATAAGCCATTATTGAAATTTGACATGAGAGTGCATTTTTAAATAACAGACCTACTTTTTTGACTCCATAATTTTGGCCGGTAATAATGGGCTTTACCATAGCATTTATCCACATGCAAATTACATAAGCTATGTTCAGTAGCAGTCGGCTCACCACATTCTATACAAGTAATACGTTGACGTCTTTTCCGATGAAGGACACACACTTCTTGCCGATAGAAAGATCGACCATAGATCTTTACCTCATTAGAAAGATATTGGCAAATTGAGCAGCAATATTATCTTTGGTAAAAATATTAAAAGTATTCAATGATTAATTTTAATTTTAATTTTTTTCTTGAGGATAATCACAAGATATCCTCGTATACTGATAGTAATGTACCCGCTGTTACCCCACCAGAGAATTTCGAATCAGGTTTCGATGGAGCCTTTTATCATCCGCCTTCAAGATAGTGATGTCAGCCGACCAAGGAATTTTTAAACGGCTTGGGCCAGCTGATTTTCTTGTAAAAAAAAAATCGACAAAAATAATATCCATCACTGATTTGTCTAAAAAAAAAAAAAGCATAATACTCGTAGTAGAATAGGTGACAATAATGATGACGATAGTAATAATAAAATAATATTAGTAGTATATAGCAGGGGTTTTGATCATCACTTCAAAATCAAAACCGGTTTTAACCAGGTACCCGCCCGGTTATAGTAAAACCGCCAAACCGGTTCGCAATTAGCAAGTTTTATTTTGTATGGGAGAGCAATTTAATCGATGAGGAACAGATGAAAAAGGTTTTATATCAACAAAATTATTTAATTAATAGGATTATTTGTTTTCCAAGTCGAAACTTGTTGCCTATATACATGTCCATTAATTACAGCATAATAATTACTCGCAAACATTTAAATGCAAGCGCGTAATTTACACGCAAACGCAATGTTATCACACTATACGTTACCGTTTTCCGGATGTATTAGATAATGGTCGAGAAATCCTTTAGAACATGGTTCATCATTTGGACCTGGTCCTCCACACATTATATTACAAGAATGTATTTGATACTTCACTAAGTCATATAGTTTTTTTCTGTGACAGCGTTAGGAACATCTGCACGGATTGTGTTTGAAAATATCAATTCAACTTTTTCCTCAATATAGCTTACGACTGCGGCCAAATAAATTTTGAATACAAATGAAAAGTTCACTCAATTGTATATACATAAAACATAATAAATAATAACATCTAAATTGAAAGTTACAGATTTTACTTGATCTTTTTTATTATATAAACAAATCAATCAATTCATCCATCACCAAAAAACTGACCACTGATATCAAGTAAATAATTATACAAGCGGGGAAATTTTTTTAAAAAAAAAAAAAAAATCAAAATAATAAATAAATAAATAATTAATTAATAGATAAAAAAACCATATAATGCCCATAAATGTCAATTTGAAATATATAAGTAAGGCATTAAAGCGAAATGTTAAAAGGTTTTAGAAAGATATGGAATAATTGATGTTTAAATCACCATTTTCTAACTTTGAATCCACCATTACGATCACCAGAAACAACATCACCGTCAATATTTTGTAAGCCAGAAAGAAAATCGCCCAAAATTTCAGGTTTTGGTGTTGTAACTTCGAGTATTGGTTTCGAAAAACTAATATAATTGTTGCTATTGGAACCACCACCATTAGCATGAGATGATGTGCGTGGTGTAATTGTAATTATTTCTGGTGCATGAATAGAATGGCGCCATGTTTTTTTATTATTAGTGTGATTATTATTATTGCCATAGCTATTACAACTTTGTAAAGAATTAGACCTTGATTGTGATGATCTGATTAATGGCAATGGTGCAGCAACGTCACCGTCATCATCATTATTATTTGATGTATCAGATATTGTTGGTAAAGCTTTTGAGGATAATGAAGGGCTGGGTGGTAATAAAGAGGCTGATGATGATGATTGATGTTCAAGCAAGTATGTTGGTAATGTATTATTTTCACTATTATTATTATTATTATTCTCACTGTTATTATTGTTGTTGTTGTTGTTGTTGTTGTTGTTGTTGTTGTTGTTGTTGTTATTGTGATTGAATGAACATTGATCATTGTCAATACTAGTACGTGGTTGAGGGCTACGCGAAGGAACTAATAAAATTTGTGGTTTTATAACTAGACCACCAGGTGCAATTGAAGATCTTCTTCTTCTTACTGATGGTTGCGGTGGTTGATGAACATCATGATGGTTATCTTCTATAGTAGGCACACAAAATGGGCTATTATTATTTGAATTGTAATAATAATTATCAAAAGACAACTTTCCACTTGAAGTGGTTGAGGTGAATGATGATGAAGAGGAATTGATTTCATCGCTGTGTGAATTACGATTTCTATTACTATTAACAATCGCTGAAGGACTTGTTCTTGAACTGGTAGTTGAAGTAAATGACCTTGCAGGTGATTTATCACGTCTATTGTTTGATGATGATTGTGACGATGTAGTAGGAGTTGTAACGGAATAATTTGAGGAATGATTGGTTGATACGTTATTGTTAATATTCGGATTATTTAATTGTGACGAGATTATTGGCGAAGAAGGTGTGGATATTGAAGTTGCACGACTGCGTATACGATTAGATGAATTGATTAACGGTGATGGAAATTTAAATGATGAATGGGAAGATGAGATTGATGAGATTGATGATGTGGTGGATATAGCATCGTGAATTGACAATGGGTCTGATTTAATAAATTCTGTCGAGGCTTGTAATGTAGTCAAAGCAAAGCTGCAAAATATACATGTGTAGATATAACGTAGATAAACGTTGAAACGCAATATATATTTATATAAAATATATCAATAAATGATGATGACGATGATGATGATGACGATTTACCTTAATTCCGATCTCTCAATTTTTGATAAACGAAAAGTCCTCATGTAGAATAAAACGCTTGCCAAATGATTTAATCTACTATTAACAATCACATATGCAAGTAATGGTATGAAATCATCAGTGGTAATTAATGACCCTTCATCTTGACTATCATAATTACTATTACTACTATTACTACTACTACTATTATTATTATTTGTTATTGAAGAAAAGTTAAAATTCCTATAATCATCGCTATTATTATTATTATTGATATTATTGTGGGTTAGTGTAGCAGATTGAGTTAGATAAGCGTATGAAGCATTTGAAATTTCTTGAAGAGTTCTTTTAATACAAAACAATTTCTCTAATGGAGTTGTTGAAGGTATAGAAGCTAAAAAGTTTTCATTATGCGTCAATTTCTTATCATCCTGATCATCTATGTTGGTGATTCCTAATCCTGCATATGATGAAATAGTTGTTGATTCACACTCGTTGTTATCACCATCAATCAATTTCAAGATTTCACGCGCTGATTCTAACATTTCTACCGGGATATCTTGAAGGCGTTCTGATACACCATAATCTTTAAGTGTGATGTGTGCATTTGCATAGACATTCAGTATTGATTCAAGGTATGTGTCATGTGAATGATAAATTGGTAATAGTGATTGAATGAATATTTTTTCATGTAAAGCATTCATCAAAATACTTTTTTTTTTAAAAAAAATCAGATATATATAATTATTAGTATTATAGTAAAAATTATTTTTTGGAATAAAAAAATTGATATATTACTTTTCTACTAGTTCTAGGAAATAATCATGTTCATGTGGTAATTGACAAATTAATCTCAATGTTTCGTTGGATTCCAGAAAACTCTAATAAACAAGCAAACAAATAATTTGATTTAATTAATTAACTAATTAATTAACGACTTTTCTTAAATTGATAATTACCAGAACAGATTTTTGAAAAATCTGGGAAATTTTATCTACAGTAAACCCAGCATAACCTCTAACATACACGTAAGTTTCTTTAAACTCTTCCACCATATCCTCCATACTTTTTATTGAAGAGTCATTATGTGATGATGATAATATATTTTTCAAGAATTGTAGATCCATTTCATGATTTCTTTCTGGTGGAATACAAATTCCACCAAATTTTTCACTATTCATTTTTTTCCATTCACCTTCTAAAGGCATTTCCAAAACTAGGACTTGAACTGATTTATATGCTTCATTATAAACTAATTCATCACTCAATATTCTAATTATTCTTTCTTCTTTGAACCCTTTTATATATTTTTTTTTTTTAACATGAGAAAAGGAATTTAATAATAAATTTAATAATATTATATATGAGATTATATATATTTCTTCGCATACGTACCTTTTAATGTTTTTACATGATTATTTTCTATTATCATTACTTTATCATTAATACTTTGAAATTGGCCCTGAAAATATGGCGATGGAATAAAAGAATGTGACTCTATATATTATATTTAAATAATATATAAACATTAGATCAATGTAAGATGCAGCGCAGTAATCATCTAAGTTTATTTAAATGGTGCGGATCCTTTTACTTTATTATTATTTGTTGTTGTTTTGTTGTTTATGATCCCTCTTTTTCAAGGAAATAATGATTATTATCGTTATAACACTTACCAATGAAATTTTTAGACATTCTTAAACCTAGAATGCTTTTAGAGTGTGGGACACAAATTATTGAAACTTTATGAAAT